ATATAGGGCGCGGAGACCGGAGTGGTCTTACTGGATACGGTATATGTACAACGGTATTACAATGTATCAGGTCGCGGTATATGTACAAAGCGGTGTTACCATCTAACAGGTCGCGGTCTTTATTCGGAACGATACACGGAGACCCAAGTGGTCGTATGGTAGAAACGGTCGCGGTCTATACAAAACGGTCTTACGGTATAACGCGGTGCGGACTTATCAACTAATAGGAGGCGCCGTCCCAGCAACCGGGAAGCCCGTAGCCTGGTATAACGCGAGGTATCAGGATGCGCCGTCCCAGCAACCGGGAAGCCCGTAGCCTGGTATAACGCGAGGTATCAGGATGCGCCGTCCCAGCAACCGGGAAGCCCGTAGCCTGGTATAACGCGAGGTATCAGGATGCGCCGTCCCAGCAACCGGGAAGCCCGTAGCCTGGTATAACGCGAGGTATCAGGATGCGCCGTCCCAGCAACCGGGAAGCCCGTAGCCTGGTATAACGCGAGGTATCAGGATGCGCCGTCCCAGCAACCGGGAAGCCCGTAGCCTGGTATAACGCGAGGTATCAGGATGCGCCGTCCCAGCAACCGGGAAGCCCGTAGCCTGGTATAACGCGAGGTATCAGGATGCGCCGTCCCAGCAACCGGGAAGCCCGTAGCCTGGTATAACGCGAGGTATCAGGATGCGCCGTCCCAGCAACCGGGAAGCCCGTAGCCTGGTATAACGCGAGGTATCAGGATGCGCCGTCCCAGCAACCGGGAAGCCCGTAGCCTGGTATAACGCGAGGTATCAGGATGCGCCGTCCCAGCAACCGGGAAGCCCGTAGCCTGGTATAACGCGAGGTATCAGGATGCGCCGTCCCAGCAACCGGGAAGCCCGTAGCCTGGTATAACGCGAGGTATCAGGATGCGCCGTCCCAGCAACCGGGAAGCCCGTAGCCTGGTATAACGCGAGGTATCAGGATGCGCCGTCCCAGCAACCGGGAAACCCGGCCTAACTACGGGAAGCCCGTAGCCTGGTATAACACGAGAGTCGGTTTAGGATCCGGAGAGCTGTTCGTGACAGGAATCGGGATCGGGAACTGGTAATGCTATGCTCGCCAGAGCGCCTTATATACCGGCGGCCGGCCTCCCACTTGCGCGATTCAACGTGTGGTGGGATGGTCCCTACGGTGGGGCCGCGACACGAGTGTGGGAGCTTAGGGACGCCATAAGCGCCGAGCCTAGAAAAGCGCGTGGTGGAACGGCCCGCTAGGCCGTTAGTAACGGTATCGTTACACTTTAAATAACTTTTCTTCGTTTATACATGTACTATTTCCACATTTGAATACTTAAAATAACTGCTATATTTCTCAAACTTTTTTTGTTAATAACTTTTTAACGAACAACGAGCGATGGCTAAAACCTCTTGGATGTTACTCAGGACAGTGACCTTGACAACATATGTCAAGGTCAAAATCATTGGAGGTGGGTACGTTAATCTAAATATTTACCACCTCAATTGTCAAATCTCGAATCTGCAATGGGGTTTCAGTCGATTGTAGAAATCGTTCAATGTCCGCACGTTTCTGCATTAGCGATTTCCACGTTTCAAAAGGCAATATTATTTGATTGCCTCGATTGTCGCCGAAAACCAGTTCCACGCAAGATACAGCTCCAACGTTTATTCCAATGTCCAAATATTTGTATGATGTCGGAGTTAAGGCGTATCGTCTTCCAAGTATACGAACCGCACGACGAGGTTCGGATGAAATGCTAGGGAGTAATACAATATTATTTATATAAATATTTAAAAAGTATTAAAATATTTAAAAGGTATAAAATTCTTTAAGTTAATTAAAACTTAGTTGTTACATTTCTTCTTCTTACACGGTGAAGTTTCATCGTCTTGAATCAGAACGTAATAATTCATGCTGCTTCCTTCAGTAGGATACATTTTTATATAAACCTTTCACACAAGTGGTCGATGCAATACTAAACGTATTAAACATATTTAAAATATGTATTAGCGTTGCAGAATTGCAATGTGGTAGG